CCACCTGCACTCTCAACATAAAAAGGCGTACTTGTGCTCCCTAGTTCGTTTTCGTTCCCTTGTCTCCTCCTTTCCCCAGTTTCTTATATCTCTACTGTATCGTCTGGCGTACCACGTTTTCGATTGGTTTTATATATATATATATTTCCTTTGGCATTCCGTTGTTAGACTGGCCTTATTATTGACGAGTGCTCTCATATTTATTTGTATCTTATTCCCACCGACTTTCACCCTATATCGATACCAGCGTAGACAAGCTGGCGACCCAGACGACCTTGTGCACCATGGGGACGGCCCACCGGTCAGCCACAGCCACTCACCACCAAAAGGTGGATCCCCCCAGTTCCAACCAAACCTTGACCAGTTACCGAGTTGTAACGGATATGGTACGACAGATTCTGAGTAAACCGGATTCCCGACAAATCTTTTACTTTTTACTACTAAATTTGTCGTACATGGTGGTCCAGTTGGCGTACGGGGTGTGGTCCAACAGTCTGAGTTTGGTGTCGGACGCCGTACACATGTTTTTCGACAGTTTGGCATTGGGCATTGGTCTGGTGGCGTCCCTCATTAGTCAGTGGCCTGCCAAGGACCATTATACGTGGGGGTACGGCTCCGTCGAGGTATTGTCGGGTTTTACCAATGGGATACTCCTCATTTTTATTTCCTTATCTATTGTGGCGGAAGCACTTCAACGGTTGTGGCACCCTTCACATGTCCATACTCAAGAGTTGTTATGGGTTAGTATTGGTGGTTTAGCGGTAAACCTGGTGGGTATCTTCGCTTTTAATCATCAACACGTACACGCCCACGGGTCGTGCCATCATGACCACCACCACGATAGCCATGGCCATGACCACAGTAATGCCAACATGCAGGGCGTATTTCTTCATATTGTAGCGGATACCCTGGGCAGCGTCGGAGTAATTATATCCACGTTGTTGATACGGTGGTTCGAATGGCCCGGATTCGACCCTCTGGCGTCTATCCTCATCGCCACCTTTATCTTTCTCAGCGTAATCCCCCTGGTGAAACTGTCTGCCCAACAGCTGTTACTTCCTTTGCCCCGTGCTTCCGTCCGTCGGGACCAAATCCATGAGGCTTTAGTAGCAGTCCAACGCCGTCATCAGGACCAAGTGCGTTTCCACCTACAGTCCGTCCGGTGTTGGGCACCCAATGATCGCACCATGGACTGTGCACTTCACTTGATGTATTCAGTACCCCAACCCACCAGTAACCAATGTCTACCTTCCCATGGCCTTTTGTTACGGGATGTTCAGGCTTCGGTGCACCGTTGTGTCCCTAGTTTGCGCAGTCTTTGTGTTCAACTGGAACCGGCAAAGGTAGACTTTTAACCTTTGTCAATTTAGATTTTTTTTTGCATTATTCTAAACTTTTTCACTTTTTTTTTTGGATCAACAAGCTATAATTTAGGACTGTCGTACGCTTGGTACTTCTTCCTACTCCATAGTACGGAATTTCATTATGGGATAGGCAGAAAACGCGACAGTGTTAAGGATTGAATCCTGATGTTTAATTTTTTGTAATATAGATAACTATATTTGTATTTTTATATACTGTCAAGAGTGTAACGGCAATACATTTTTTCGGTGTTTTTACTAGATGATCCTCTGTTTATCTTCAAGAGTTCCTGTTAAGCTTGTTTATAGACGCCGACTTTTGCGAATATGAGTTGCCAGGCTCTTGACGTTGTCAATGCAAATAAAATATGATAAAAAAAATAGCAATTACCTTGCAAAGAGTGATAGTTAAGCAAGGGAAAAAACAAACAAACCAAATAATGAAATGGTAAACTAAACGAAGCAGAGTCCATGTCTCGATCGGTGCCTACTCCACATTGGTGTAGGTAATAAAAACACTAAGAATAAGAAAAGAAAAAAAAATCGAAGCCAAAATGTAAAAAAAAAGGAAAAGAATGACGCACGGAGAAGAGCGAGGGCTTCAGAACAGACAAAGTGTATCAAAAGTGCTAACGGGTGGGTTCAGCCAGATTATCTTGGATAGCTCCGGCACTGGCAACGTCATTGGTAGTGGATTCATCCCGAAATATCTCAAAGATAGCCCCCACAGGTTTCTGGAAATCATTGTCCACGATGTTCACCAGATACCACGAATCTGTAATACCCTTGATCAGCTGATGGGACGAGGAATCCTTAGGGTACAGATCGGCCCACAGGCGCCACAGTTCAAACGCTTCGTCTTTCCAGGCCACAAAGCTCAACCCTTCGACGATGGTGGGTTGTTTAATCTCCTGGCCGGGGAACACTCCCCAGGTAACGGCATTGGGGTCATCACAGGCGGTGTTGGTTTTTAAATGACCCGTACGGTTGACGGCGTGGTAGGTAATGGCAGGAGACTGACGCAGACGAGATTCCAGTTTTGCCAACGCTTCAGGGCTGACAAAGAATTCCAAGTAGGCCTTTTGGTAAACATAGCCATGCTTGGGACCCCAACCGTACATCGGATCGGACGAGGACACTCCGTTGACAGCCGGTTGAGAATTCACGGTGAGGTAACCGGCCTGATTCATTCGGGTGAGATGTTCACGGATGACCTTGGACTCCAAATTAAGGGGTTGGTCACTCCAGGGAAGGAACGGCACCTTACCCTCACAGTACTTGGCAAAGATACCGTAGATATCCGACAAGGCAGCGGGATGGTCCCACACCTTTAAACACTCGTCCCGGCTGTAGCGTAGGGCCATACCGTACCCATCCAATTCACCATAGGCCGGGGAACGGGAATCACCCCAGCGACCATTGGGAAATTCGTCCCAGTTTTCGGTACGAGAAATATAGCTGCGGGTACGATTGCGCCAAAAAATGGGCCGGACGGTTTCTTCGCGGCGTTTGGGACCCAACGAAGGTTTCCAGGGTAGTGGACGGAGTTTCTCCACGGGGGCCACAAATTCTAATCCTTCCAAAATCAACCGGACGGATTTCTCCAAATTCAACGTGTAAAAATGGAACCCCACCTGTCCACCTTGGCGCAACTGACGACACATGTCAATGGCCAGTTGCACACCATATTTTTTCACGGCCTGATCGTCGTCCTTGATAGGGGCCAACGCTTCCAAAATATGGGCGGGTACAGCCGTTTTACACAAAGTGGTCATGCGGTTAAATCCGTTGTAACTTTGTATGGGCATGATCCCGGCCAGGATCGGACAGGTAATACCAATATCCCTACACTTTTGAACCCAATCGAGGTATAAATCCACATCGTAAAACAACTGCGTCACAATGTAATCAGCCCCCACATCCACCTTTGCCTTGAGGTGCACCAAATCTTCCTCCAAATTGGGGGAGTCCAAGTGTCCCTCGGGATACCCCGCCACCGAAATACAGAAATAGTTGCCATAATGTTTACGAATATATCGTACCAAATCCGAAGCGTGGGCAAACCCATTTTCGCACTGGGTCCACTCCAACGCTCCACGCGGAGGGTCACCCCGGAGCGCCAGTATATTCTGAATCCCTGCTTCTTTGGCCTCCATCAACGCCCGGTCGATTTTATCCACGGACATATTGGTACAAGTGAGATGCATGCAAGTTTCCAACCCGTACACATTTTGCGACGTGCGACATATTTCCGTAGTAAGTTGCGAAGTCGTACCGCCTGCGCCCCACGTTACATCAATAAATTCGGGTCCCAATTTGTACATGCGCTCTAGTCGATCGTACAGGTTGACTACTCCTTGTTGGGTCTTGGGCGGAAAGTACTCAAACGACCAAAAGGGCCGGTTTTCCTTGGTTGCGTTTTCGATTTTATCAACAATTTTCATATTTTCCTAGTAGAGAGTGGAAGCACTCGTAGGAAGAAATGAAGAAAAGGTAGGTTGGGATGTCGTCTGGTCCGAATAAATAATGGCAGCACAATGCAAAAAAAAAGAAACAACAATGTCGAAATAAGCAAAGAACTAGTTCCAGGAATACAGGAACGAGCAAAACGAAAAAAAAAAAGCTGATATACCTCACTGAGGCGTGGCGTCGATGTTATGACTAACCAAGGCGGACAAGATAAAAAAAAAGAACGAGCTAATCCACACTAGTTGTTAAAGGATACGAGTGAATAAAACGTGCTAATAGTCCTTTTGTACGACAATAATAAAGGGGATACACTACACTATTTATCTCTCCCTCCTGGACTGCTACACGAATAGACCCACAATAAGGTCGTCTTGGTCATTGGTAGTCGATCCGAACAACTAATGGCTCATTAGACCTGTTTGGCCTATCTTCTCCAACCCCACATAACCACCCGCCCAGAATCGCCTGATTCTTTTTACCGTTTCAGAGACTTCTCCACATCATGATTTCTAATAAGTCTTGGACTTGTAAATATTGTATTTCTTTTATTTCTTTTTTTTAACCGAATACATTTAAAAAACCAATCAACTTTACATAATATACACATACGACTATGGCGAGTAACCACGATCCCGACAATTAACTGAGTAGCAATCAAAGTCAATACATACGATGAATGAAACCCAAGACAAGTACATAACCAATTCAACCGTTAGAATACAAGTCATAAGTAAGGCAATGAAGGACAGATCACCCCCCATAACTAGAAATCACTAATCAAAGACCCAAAAAAAAAACCGTCAGGACGAGCATTGGAACCATTGCACCACCGCCAAATATGACGGTCTGGGTGCTGCTTAAAGACTAATCGTAAACATCATACGGCAAAGACCTATTGGTGTACTGAGTAGCACCTATTTTTCCACTTTACTAGATGTAAAAATCCACGCTACCACTCAAGCCTCCGAATACTTACCTAAACAATATTAAATGGGTCGATTATTACCAAGCTGATATATGTCCTTCACAACAAAAAAAAGCAAGGTCAATTTATATTCTTTGCTTCAAAATAATTATTATACCTGATAAAAAAATTTTTCTCAATCACGTGGGGTTTCAAGAATTTTTTTTTAAATTTCAAAATTTCAAAAAAAAAATTAAAAATAGGAGTGCCTCTTGCCGGGATCGAACCAGCGATCTTCGGTTTACGAGACCGACGCTCTACCACTAAGCCAAAGAGGCTCCCGAAAAAAAAATTTCTTACGTTATATCGTATCTATAAATAAGGCGAGGATATTATTTTTGTCAGTTTCTCCTGCTTTTTCCAATGGTTTGATGATGGGGAATTCATCTAGTTCGAATATGATTTATTCCGGCTGTGATGTAGAACCTCTTTGTGAGGATGATTCGAAATCTGTTTGTGTGATGAAACAGCATTGTTGATTCTGTTTCCCGCTTCTTCGAGGCAGTATCATTTGCAAGAGGATATTATTCCATAGATACTTTCCCGTTGTTAGCTGTTTTTGTGATGTCTTTGGTGATATCATTATCCCCTTTCTAGTGATTGTGTTCAGGTGATAAGTAAACTCTTTGCTATCAGGTGTGTCTGGTTTGGAAGCTTGGATCAGTGAGTTTTCTTAGCAGATAACCGAACCGGTTGGTTATCCTGATCCATTTTTTTATGATATGTAGATGTTGTTTCTGTCTCTGGTCCTGATATATATAGGACCCGATTTCATAATATAATAAAGGTAGCGCCTTATGGTATCCTTTTCTGTTTAGTACCTTGATGACTTTTAGGCTACGTTAGCATGGACAATCGTGGACTGAAGCCTGCGTAGGCTATATCTCCGGAGGACCTGGTTGTATTCGAGATACCACAGTCATAATAGGACTTTTGATATCAATTGGGTCGTTATTAAGGGGTTCACAGAAATGTCCTCTCGTTCTTGGGATTTTCACTTCCATCAAGTTCCACTGATATGATTTTGGAATGCGATAACATCTTGGGTGATAGATAAGCGCAGACTGCTTGATACTCTTCTTTGTTTAACGTGGTTTTACTCCTACAAAGTACCACCTCTCCTTACAATGTCTCAACATCGGTAAATGTACTTTCGTAGATACAATAACTTTTTATAGACATAGGCCAATTTATTGTAACAACCAATAACCCTTTCCTCTCTCTATATGCTGCACGTTGCTCTGTGTGAGGGTGATATATTAAGAACCATCCTGCAGCTATGTTGAAACTGTAGAGTAAAAAAATGACAACTAAAATACAAACGCCAGATGCACGTATAAATATAGAAAGACAATGCTACGCTTATTAAAGAGATGCTAATTGGAGTTCTACATACGTTTGATTACTCCGTCCGCGAACCAAACCTTGAACACATCATGTAATAAAACACACAAACCCCCCCCCAAACATATGAATTACAGCCTACGTAAGATACGTGGAGAAGAAGGGGGATCCGAGCCATCATTGTAGGCTACAGAGGTCTCCAGAGAATTGGTAATACTGGCTTCAGCATCAGAATCCTCAGTTTCCGAGGCAATAAGATCCAACCGTTGAAAGTCGGCATTGCGACGGTAAAGTATGTAATGCTGCACCATAAATACGACATCAAAGGCCATACTGACCAGTGCCAAACCGAGTTTCACAGGGTTGCCCAGTACTCCATCCCAATTGTCCAATCGGCCGGCGTCTAGAAGTAACTGGGCCATTGACAATACCCCACCGTTAAAATCCAACAGAATATTATGAATACTCCATCCCATGGTCGATTGGGCCAAGTAGTTGGCGTAGACCTGGGGACAATACTTGACCAAACTGACCATCAACTTGACATAGGAGAAAAAGTACATCAAGTCAATCCACGCGGTAGCTCCCAACGTCACCCCCATAAGTAAGGTAGTGATGCCCAACCCGGAACAGACCAAAAAGGACTTGGCCACCAAAGATAACCGCTGGTGACGGTGTCGTTTGTACACCAAGCTCTGTCCCAAAGTAAACGTCGCCACCAGAAATGCATGTACTGCAAACACGACGTCATTAAAACGCACCAAATTCTCCTGTCCAGCATTGCGCTCTCGGTACTCTTGACGCACCGTATCACTGGCGTAAAACGTGATATTGTACAGCGCATAACACGCAAACCCAAACGAATTATACACGAGAAAGTCAATCGACAGACCTTGTACGCTTTTACGTCGGTAGTTGAGAAGTACCTGTGGATAAAAGCTTACCGACCAGGATGCAAAGTATAGCCAGCCCAAGACGGCCGATACCACCGCGCCGAACGTAGCCACCATGGTGTCTTGTCGCTTTGGTTCAAGATGAACAAATATGAACACTGACGTACGTAAAAGGCCAACGAGTGCGACTCTTCCGGTTAACTGGGGTGTTTAAAAGAGGTGTAATGCAATTCACAGTAAATCGCAACTAAATATTACGTATCCAGGGTGAGATAAGAAATAAGGAAGTAATGGATGGACTAAATCACAAACTAGGGTAAAGATAAAAAAAAACGAACTTGAAAAGAAGATGTAGCACCAAAGACTACAGGAGGTAAGCGATAAATAAGCACGTCTTGGGTTAGGAAAGAGTGTAGAAAATGGACAAATGCAGGCAAAGGGAACGGTTAGTAGAAACACAAGCAATTCTTTTGGGTGTGATGGCCTTAAAACCGGGTACGGGTGGCACACTTTCAATTGAACAATAAAAAAGATATAGATACGGATGTGTATATATATGATAGCAGTGGTAGGGAAACGGTTGTTAAAAAATGGTGATATCTCAGGCTCTAAAAGGTAGCGAAAATGACGGTTAGATATAAACCCAGTTTTTACGATTTACGACTGATCTATACCGCACAACCATGGGGGACACAACTGGCTCACCAGCACCTCATCCGGCCAATGGATGACGCAAGGCAAAACTCTGCTTATGCTGGGACCTCGCCACCTGTCAAGTGTGAAGCAGGGGCCACTTGCCGTTTCCAGCAGAAAAAAAGAAAATGCAAAAAGTAAGTATATTTAAATAATTTGTTGACAAAACGACAGGCCGAATGACATATAGTAGATTCCGAATTAACATTACCCCATATCCGTATATAATGTTGGAGTTGTCCTCCTCACCCATAGAATAACTTGGGGTATAAATCTAAACTTAAGTAATATCAATCCACTATACAAAGATTGCCCTGTCCAAATCACCTCAAAACAACGTACATTTTATTGGAGAGGGCTATTGTCCCTTCGGTCTATATATGGATAATGGGCAACCCAAGCGGCACAGTTATAGCAAATTCAAAAGGGATGGGTCCCATCTAGCGTCGCACCTGCGTTCAACGAATCGGCGCGGCTTGATAAATTCAAGTTTCATTGGTACCTTATATGTACACGCGTACGTGGGACTCTTCCCAGTATTCCGGCACTACTTTATTCCGATGGGCAATGGGTCCCAATCTTTTCGCTGCTCGACTTCCCAACCTTGTGAAAAATAAAATAAAATAATAAGTTTTGATTACTGCGATGCGGGGCCCTGGAACTAGCCCAGCTTATACCACACCAGAATAAATAAACAAACCGCTATAACCGTAGCAAGAATGAGCTGGTCCCGACTGCGACGATACCCAATTTTCCGCAAAAGGTAATTCATACCAGGAATCCGCTGGGTAACATGTCCTAATAAACTCAAACTACGCAAAAGTATACTCCGCTGTTCGCCTAAATCCTGTCTGACCGCATACGCCTGGTCCAACGCCATATCGATCATCTGGTGCGACTGATCCAAATGCCCGCGCTCCCGTAATAAACTGTGTGTGCCATCCCTTTCCTCGGACCCACGTCGTGTTTCACCGCCGGACAGCAACGCCCGTCGGGCTCGACCGCCTCCTAGTCGTTGTTTAACCTGGTCCACTTGTTTCCGGTAATCATGGACAATTTCTCGCTGACGTTGTAAAGTGTGCAAGGTTAACGTGGAATTAGGGGTGGAGTTGGCTGTATCACGTCGTTCCTCGTGGCGACGGCTCATGTCCAAAACCACTTTTTCTAATTCATCGAGTAGATGGTCCAATTCGGTTTCCGTCTTGTCTAGCGCCACATCATTACCCGGGACTGTCGTCAGGTTGTCGAGGGTAGACGTTATCAACCGGTTCATTTTATTCAGACATTGGTCGAGACTGTTTTGTAGAGTACGTGCTTGTCGTCGTAATACTTCCCATGTGGGCTTCTGGGTTGCGTCCATGTTGAATGCAAATGTAATAAAAGTGAAGAGATGCGGAAAGGTCCAACTTAGTTGTACGTTCGTGTTGTCCTTAGCGCAGATAGTGCTTGTCGGTCATGAATAAGTAGTTTGTTAAAAGTTTGGAGGTCGTGAAAGTAACGATTCAATATTTTAGATAGGGTCAGCCAAGAGGAATTGAACTCGCCAAAGGAATGGTGAACAAGTGCGTGGAATGCCTCTGAGCACACTTTAAACAATATCAGAGTGCTATTCAATATCACGTGTTGGAAAACGTACACCCTCATCCTTCGCTAACTTTACCACAAAAATCACTGGCGCATAAACTTATTCATCTTGGTATAAGAAAAAAAGGATATAAAATAACCAGTAGAAACATAATTCGTTCATACTTGTAATAGTCCCCGGAAATTAGTGCAGATAGAATTTCTGTGAATGAAGTCCTTGCACCAAAGGTTGCCACGACCCGCCGGCCGGAATATGCCGATACTGGATGGTGATATCCAGATTTCGGGGATTGCTCTTGTTTTTGTGGCAGGTAAACTGTCCAATGATTGCATCACCCTTTTCGACCGCAAAAGGTTCCTTGAGAGCGAAGAGGGTCTGTTTCCAATGGGTAGGTTTCCCATGCGGACCCGTAGTGAACCGATGGACACGGGTATCCTCGACGTCCACAGGTGCATTCGGATTCGGAAGTGTTGTTGATTTTGATGACGAATCCTGGTCGGCTTGGGCGTACGGTACCAAAGTCTTGGGGTCGTGCTCAGGAGGTTCAACATCGGCTTGACGAGCGAAAAAGGTATCAAAATAACCTAAAAACCCGTGAAACGTACCACTCTGGGTAATGGTCAATTCAATCACGGAAACGAAATCCAAACTGGGTTTCTCAACGTAGGAAATATCGATAGTTTTCAGACACTGTGAAGTGGTATTGACGGCCCGGGCGGGTACAATGTCGACCAGAGGCTCGTCGTAGAAACCGGCCTTCATG